TGAATGGTTGATCTTATAGACGTACCAGCATTCGATTGGTTTATAGTTTTTCAAAAGTTAGTCGTTGAGGAAATTGAATATTAACCTCGCTAGTATTTATAAACACGTTGCGAATACTTCTTCGGTTTCTGATTAGGTTGATACCAAGTTTTTAAAAGCGCGAAAGCTTTATCTGAAGTTGCATTTTACACCACATTAGCTAAATAAACAAGCCAAACACCTTCACTAGTGCCCTCAAGAAAACAAGAAAAATAGAAAGCCTAAACAAGGAGGACAATGAAATCTGATAAGATCCATATCGTAAGGTGCCTAAGGCCCCCAGTTTTAACTATCACTTCGGGGATTATACTCTATCATGTCACCACAGAGAAAATTTTGTACACATCAGTTGGATCGTGTTATCTCAGATAAAAAATTTTAACCATCATATTGTAATTTAGACAAATGTCAACAAACTGACAACGTCTCAAGCTGAGCTGATGAGACGAAGGTTAATTTTTAACTGATATAGTCAAACCGATATGTACGAAAGACAGCAATCCCCTATCTTAGGAATTAGTATAAGATGATGTTACTTGTAAAAATGATGTTTCATGTATATTCTTGCGACATAAAATTTAATCTATCATAGTAAGCAGTTTTACCTTTAAGATAATCAGCATATTCTACATCCAGACTCATCTTCACCTTAACTTGTTTCAATCGCCTCGTTTCCGAGGTAATTTATGTTAAATGAGTTTAATGAACGTGAGTGAGGTTTGTTATTTTAGAAAGCTCTTGACGAGATGAAACAAACCCAATCAGGAATTAACGAGAAAGTAGAGAAAATGGAGGTAAGAACTTATTTGTGATAATATTTCATAATTGCTGGTCATTGATTATCATATAAGCTGTCACGTGACGAAATTCACCCTCTCGATAATTATGTCATTTGCCTGGACGGCCTCGTTCAAAAGTAAACGTGCAATGCGTGTTGGATCTCTGGCGAAATGATGTAATTATTAAACTGATGTGTTGAAAAATATTTTTTGACGCTTTAGAAGACCCATCGGAACGAAATAAAGTTTGGATTTGGGGAGCTGGATTTGGGAAAAAATGCGTGGTGGTAACTTGTAGCAAATTCCCCTCCCTTTCCATTGAATTTAGTTTAACACTTATGCCTTAAATGGCATAATATGGTACATCTTACATCAATTTAAAAGGTTTTCTATTGTCATTGGATTTAGCGCATTATTCTTAACCTTCACGCACAAACTTGCACCGTGTAAAAAACCGCGGCATTTGTAACCCCAACCCCCGTTCGGATGGGCTTGTGTAGATTAAGATGAAGAAAGCGCACAGATGAACCTCGTTTCTGAAGAAACTGTTGGTAAAATAGTTGGTCGGTTGATATTACTGCGATACCACAAGCTTGGTAGTGATTTGCTGTGAAAACTTGGCAACGCTAATTACAACACTCTTAGAAACGTCGTAAAATACATTTCTAAGCTTTAAAAATGCATCGTTTATTCACAACACTATGCCACAGATCCATTTACAGTTTAGCCAACGTCGTCAGTAAATCCTAGAATCTGTAGCCCCAGTGGTCACTCTATGTGTCAGTACAGGATTTCGGCTGCGATTTCAAAGCACTAATGAATAAGTAATGATGCTACATCGTAACTTTTCATTTCCAATTTAGGTTAATTTTGAAATGATGAAAGGGCAGTTCGAAAGATTTGAAGGAGTGCTATTAGGTCATTTATTCCAAGTAAACACTGTCAACAGAAATAGTGCTCAAGCTACGGATCCCACAATTCCAACTAACAACCAAGACGTTATTATTCTTGGTGGTTGGTATGGCCTTGGAGAAGCACCCCCTTTGAATACTGTTGAAAAATATAATATTGTTGAGAAGAGGTCAACTATGCAACCACCATTGAATCATCCTCGAGCAGCATCAGCATCGTGTGTTTACAACAATGACATCCTGGTCGTTGGTGGTTACGATGGTAAAGACGTAACTGGCACGATCGAAGTTTTAAAGATGAACCAACATCCTTTGCGATGGACAATGTTTGATGGTAAACTGCCTGTCGGATTATGTGCTCATGATATCATAGTTTATCAAGGAAAATTATATATAATAGGGGGAAATGAGGGGAGTGAAAGAAAAACATCAAATGCCATTTATGAGATTGCTCTTACCCCACCTTATACTGTAAAGCTGCTGACGAGAATGCCTGAGCCAAGAAAATATCACAGAGCAGAACTTCTTAATGGAAAACTATTTATCTTGGGCGGGTCAACAACCATAAATAATAAAGATGCTCTTGACAGCGTTGTTGTTTATGATTTGGTTAAGAATAAGTTCAAGACATGTACATCGTTACCTCAGCCTGTTTGTAATATCTCCACAGTCACTTGGGGTGATAAGTTCATTGTTCTCGGTGGTGTGGATAAGAATGCTCAGGCATTAAATGACGTCATCATGTATGACACTGAGACGGGGCAAATTGAGCAACTGCCCTCCATGATTTACAGAAGGAGCGCCAGCTCAGCTGTCATCATGAATGACGTCATTCTCGTATTTGGTGGAAGAAATAATGAGCAGGGAATTCTCAACTCAGTGGAAACCTTCACCATTGGTGGAAATGGCTGGGAAGAACTACCAGGAATGATAGAAAGAAGGTGTTATGCAACTGCTGTTGTGAAACCAAACAACTAAAAGTTTTCTCAATATTTCTTATTGTGTCCTTGCATGAATATAATAATATATTTTGTGTCGTGATGGTCAATCATTGTTTCGGCGCTTTCTCGATATATGAGCAACCAGACCTGTCCCTAATCATAAACCTGAATCTAACATGAAGTATTTTATTTATATTTCTGTTTTCTCATTTATCAAGAAACAGTCATTGTTCACGTCACGTTGATAACTGCTGTTGTCATCTATAATATTTCTATATTCTTATACTGTGACGTCTGGTGAAGTTTAACTAATATTATTAGTGTGTAAATATATAACATAAGATAAATAGATATAGATATATAATGTTTTGTTCATATAGTCAATATTTTACCCTAACCAATGTTGATAACTGCTGTTGTCATCTATAATATTTCTATATTCTTATACTGTGACGTCTGGTGAGGTATAACCAATATCATTAGTGTGTAAATAGGTTCAATTTGACATTTTAATCTTAACCAATGGACATTATCAATAAGCAGGACAATAGATTCATTAGTGAAATAAGTTTGATGATAAATATTGATCAATAAAAGATAGATTATCCATGTTTTAATTGCGATCAATACGATTCGTTTCTGGCCTTAGACCAGACCATACGCAGGACAATGAGGGTTACATATTTTAGGAGGGGACAGGGTTGGGTGAAGAGCAGTATTTTTCTAACAAACATCAGTATTTTTCACCGCATGATTCTTAGAATGGTGAAGTTCTAAAATATGAACATGGTTCGTCAGCAGTTTCAAGATTTATATCGTCGTTTGCCATGAATGGACAGGTCGGTAGTTTGGTCTGATCTCAATAAATTAGTGTGTTTAACTGGATAATCCAGATATTTTTTATTCAACCATGTTTTTCGTTGACAATCCTGATCTCGTATATGATCCAACAATCCTGATCTCGTATATACTGGAGTGCTGGACCACAAGGAACCTGACAACAAAACAAAGTTTCAATTTTCCAACGAGACACAACGAGAGATGGAAAAGTCAGCCCTTGGTTGACCAGACCAGGCTCAATATAAAACACTCCAGTTGAAACAAGATAAATCACAACATATTAAGAACAAATGACATTGTTTACTGAAGGAAAGAGCAAGTCATTAGATCATTCTGTTGTTCAACTATAAATTTGGTGAGTTTCTTCAATTTTTATGTATTTGAGTTTCACCAACTTTTCTCAAACACCAGAGCCGTGATCATCTCGACCATTCTAATATAAGTCTATTCACTTGTTATTACCAACCTATGTTTACACAAAATATTATATGAACCTTTAAAAGATTATTCCAGTATTCTTTGGCTAACAAATAACATATAAAAATGAGAACTGTTACTTATGTGAAATATGTACTCGACTAACTTCAATAATTGTTTAATTTCCGGACAGGAAATGAATCTTTGAGGATTATGGTAATAAGACGAGGCATTGTTCTTCGTATTTTAACTCAAAGAGAAAGGAATTGAGACAAGAAAGGGAGAATTTTGTCGCTACGAAAATTACTGGTGAGTTTGTTTATGTTTTAAGCGATCTCGTGTGCAAAGTTAGCAGCATTTAGCGAACTTTTCAACGTGTTTTTAACCGGACATAATTTCTGGCTATTTGTCTAAGTTCAAACAGCGCCGAGGCAACGAATGTTGTTTGACTGTCTTTAATAATTCAAGCGACTTCTCGCCGTTGGTAAAACATTGATTATAAACAAGCGATTATATCACAAAATACTTCGTGATGAGGGAAGTGTTATTATTAATTCACAACTATAAAGCGATAGTTTAAAAATATGGTGTAATAAACTGTGTTTAAAAGTTGTCATTTGGTATTTTGGTCGCAATCTTTCCGCCTTTCCCTCGTTATAAGGAATCGCAGGCAGGAGCAGGTGAACCAGGGACTCCTGTTGATAAATCTCTGTGCAGTCATATATAAATAACACGAAGTTTTTTTACTGATATTTGTGACCGAAACATAAATTGATAACTGTGATTAATTTGATCAAACTGTGATTCTGGGATAGAACTTTAGGAAACTCCACGTCAGCATGCTTCAATATTACTTGGAAATAAATAATAATCCCTAGAAATCAATGGCAGGCATGTTTCTCTGACATATTGAATATTAGAAAGTGATGGATTAAAAAAGTGATTAATTTTGTCTATTTAAATCCATTGACAATAACAGGGATTAAATGTCTAGTTCTGAGAGTCTTTGATGTCAACATAAGGTGGTAAACAAGATCACCCCATCCGTCACGAGACTTTGCGCAATTTGTTCAGTCATTTGGAAGGCTCTAAAGATGCAGTTTTACACCACAATGGAAGAAGCTATATTGCCACCGTGAATGTAGTTCTCGCAACATTTTTGGTAAGTGTGTTTACATATTCATTTTAGTCGAGATGTGAGCAATCTTAAATAACAAAACGCACGCATTGACACGATTAACTCTGACGCAATATGCTGGGGCCGGTTGTATCGCTTAAACGGTGGATTAGTCAAAATTAAATAACACTCTTACATCTCTCTTGAATGAGTCAACTTGAATATTATGCACTGAATATGTAGTTGTAAACAGTATCTTTGTATTAAAGTCAAAAACATTTAGTTCGCTTGTTGAATAAAACGATAAACTTGCTTTCTATTTTGAACTTACCCACCGTTTTAAGCTAAACGGGATTGATACAACCGGCCCTTGATAATTTAATAATTTTGAGTCGCGTTCAATGAGATTTTAGTCAGGTTTCATTCGTTTCAATTCGTTTCGATTCCAAAATCTTAATTCATTGTAATTCGCTGTAGATATTTAGGATTTAGCGTAGCACAAGCCGGGAATTGCGACATGTGTATTAGTAAACACTCAGGGGCCGGTTGTATCAAGCCCGTTTAGCTTAAACGGTGGATAGGTTCAAAATAGAAAGCAAGTCTGCCGTTTTATTCAACAAGCGAACAAAACATGTTTTTGACCTTAATACAAAGCTACTGTTTACAACTACATATTCAGTGCATAATATTCAAGTTGACTCATTCAAGGGAGTTTTAAGGGTGTTATTGATCGCGTCGCGTAGCGACAGCGATCTACAGTTTCGGCTTGGTTTTTTGATCGCGTCGCGTAGCGACAGCGACCTATAGTTTCGGTTTGGTTTTTTGATCGCGTCGCGTAGTGACAGCGATCTATAGTTTCGGCTTGGGTTTTTGTGGGTAGCCGCTGCGCATGCGCGGCTAACCACTATGTTAGCTGAAAAGTGTCCGCGTCCGTCTAAATGTCCACATCTTCGGAAATCGTCGGATAAGTGAACAGATCACGATTATGAACTATTAGTGTTTGTTGACATCTTCGGTGGAAGCACACCACTAACAGTTGCAATTGCACGTTTTCTGGAATTCGGGAACATATTTATTGATTCAGTCGAAGTACTTTTGGCATGGGGGAACATATTTATTGATTCGTAAGTACTTTTGGCATGCTATTTATTATCCATATATAATTGTATATGATTTCCAAAGGTAACACGGCATATAAAGTATTAAAACTTGTTTATATCGCCCATTTCATTTGTTGATTAATTTCAAATAGTTAAATTTAAAAACGTTTGGGCTAAACCATAATAGATTTTAGGCCTATGGAAATTTAAAATGGCTTTTGTATTGTAAAACAGAGCGGATATTGATACACCCTGCATATTTAATACCTTGTATATATTTAATGACTTGTAGATACATGGAAATGTTAATATGCACACATTTGTATTTTTGAATATGAAATATTATATTCTATTTGCTTCAAAAAGATCAAAATATTAAATGCTAAATTATGCTTCCTGTAAACACTAAAATTGAGCATAGGAATTATGCTTAAATTCACAAACCGCATGTCGAAGCAGTGGAACAGGGATACAAACAGAACATATTGATTTATAACAAGATCTCAAGGTTTAGTTTCTTTATAATATTTGGATGAAACTGGCAAAAGTTGTGCTTCAGTTTTGAATGAAACTGGCAAAAGTTATGCTTCAGTTTTATGAAAAATGTAACACATGGATCGAAAATGTGTCAGCACCCCTTAACTATTGGTGATGGAAGGAAATGGCTGAGATATCTAAAATGCAGGGGACTTGATAGATCAGGTTGTATAGAAAAATAGTAATCGAAGACCAATATAGTCATTGCAAATGTCCCATTCCCAAAATTCCATGTTTAGACATAAAATTAATATAAAAATTTTACTCAAGTTAGTTTAAACTCACAGACAATGTGTATATTGTAGAAACATATGTGTATGTAAACTACTGATAATATATTCAAATCAAGACCTAACATATAAATATATAAGTTCAAAGTGATATAAGATTCTTTAATTAAATTATATGAAATATATACCATTTTGTCAAATAACAAGTGTAAATTTATCACTAGGAAGCTCTAACATAATTTAACAGAACTTTATACTTTTTTTGTTTTACTTTTTTTTATGTTCCTATAAACATAACTTTTAAGATAGTTAAATGATTTTCTTCTGGATAGTGTCATAAACAATGTCCAGTTCATCAATGTCTGCTATCAATTGATTGATAAGCTTTTCTGGTGTCATTTGATTTAGCGAGTCATCTGTGGAACATCTAGCTATGAGCTGATGCACAATGATGTTGAAGGCTGTCAAATTGAATTCGTACAGGAACAATAACATCCGATATGCTAGCTAATAAATAATCAAGGGGCATAAAAAAGAAGTACTTTGAAAATGTTAAAAAAATCTTTCTCTCCTTCCAAACTAAGCTTTATGTTATCAGACGATTTGTACCACCACTCTGGAACCTTACTCTCTTTTTTGTTCTGTCCACCTATTCTGTTTTTTAAAAACCATGCATTTCCTATCTTTTGTAAATATGTTTTTATATATTTTAATATTCTGTCGTTAAAATTGTATTTAAATTAATACAATAAAAAGATTAAATATATTGTGCAAAAAAATCGATTTCGTGAATTTAACTGGCTAACATATGGCATTAGAAAGTAAAATTATGAGCATTAGTTTATATTGACTCGCCACTATAGCAGCCTGTAGTTTGACATTGAATCAAACTTGAATTTTTTTGCCAAACCATAGCTTCATCGCAGCCAATGATTTGCAAATGTTTTAGAGGCTACCCACATGTACGCATTGCGTACCTATTTTTTTTATTATTTTCCTCTCGGGTCGACCCCCAGCGTCGCTAGCTGCAGGCCATATCACCCTAATCGGGAACTTGCGCACGGATAAGTTGCTAGTTATATCACGTGTTTTATTCACTTTGGGCAATTTTTCGTTTCACCGTCGAACTTCGAAGCAGTAAAGTAGAATCAATAAAGCGATAAAAATGCTAGCAAGTGCTATCTTTATATCTTTATCTTTACACTCATTACACATACAACTGCACACGCCGAGCAGAGTAAGCCTGCACTAAAGGATTTCAAGCAGTTTCGAAATGGGCTGTTGTGTGTTTCTCCTGCTTTCAACATGCGACTATAGTTCGGTATATTGTTTATTTTTATTATTAAGAACATTTACGACACAAAATTTGCATAGCTGGGCTTGCTACGCCGCTGTGAACCACGCGATCATATAACGCCTAGTATATAGGCGTCTTGTTTAATTTTGACTTATCCACCGTTTAAGCTAAACGGGCTTGATACAGCACCAAAAGCAAATAAATTTTACCTACATCATAATATTCTTGTAGATTACTGTACATACATTTTGACTGCTTTGGCGTCAATAGATTCCAAATTTTTCAGTAATGAGCAAAGGTTAATTATCATTAACACACAACAATAAAGCGATTCAAAAATAACGTGCAATAAACTGCGATTATTTTGAAACTGTCCTCAGTCGTATGAAATATTAAATTACAATCAATGAACCATCATGAACCATCAGCATGCATTCAAATTAATTACAGGCACAAAATTCGTAGTGAACACAAATACAAACGCCTCTCTCAAAGTGCAAAATTCTTTCTGTCAAATTTGTGAAATCCAACTCTGACAAATCTTGTCTAAGGAATGACGCAAATCAGTGACATTACTTTGGGTCTTAAGTTGATACAGTTGGACTACACAGTGTCTGTCTGATTACATAGAGCAAGGCATCTCAACTAAGCGAGATAGTTTCTTAAACGCTGAACCAGACTAGAACAAACTCACTAAACTTAAGTCAAATATTAGTAAATATTAAATTACAGCAACCCAACAAAACTCGAATCAAAGGCACAATATCCGTAGTAGATTCAAGTGCAAACGCGTTTCTCAAAATACAAATGAATTCTCGGAACATGATTCTTGAAATGGTATTCTCAAAACAAGGACGTTTTGATAAATTTTGTGTTCTTGTGAAAGATAATAATTCAGTCAATGACACGACCATAATACTAGTAATCACGCGTTGACACTGGGATATCAATGAATGCAAATGAATTCAATGAATTCAATAAACTTTGACAGCACGATGACAGAATGACGTAAGTTATGAATGATGTCATGGATACAACAAATATTGCACAAGGTATCAAGGTGTTGTCTTTCACAAAATATCGTTGATCGCGTTAACACCAGCTTACCGCAGAATATTTAAGCGAAAATCTGTCATAATTCATCAGCTTTGGTAAGTCTAATTTTATTATCTTTGTGTGGTTTAAGTTGCATGGTCTGTCACTGTCAATATCAGCCTCGCTACCAATCACTGTAGGTTTGATAGTTCCACTGGTTGCCACGTTTACACTTTACCTGATTCCCGAGTCACGAGATCAACACTTGTCGTTTACGAGTAATCTTTGTCAACAAATCTTAGTTCATTCACAATTATTGTTTGCTTTTATCGTAAAATCCTAATTCAAAGTGTTCAGAGCGTTCTCAAACAGCAAAATACGATATCGTGTTAGAGACAGAGGAAATATTGTACAGTATAAACACAACTATGAACTATTGGGCAGCGAAGCGTTCCTTGAGGATGATATTTTAAATCTTGTGTTACTTATATAAAAGAAAAGAACTCTGTATCAATCGTTTCCCTTTGTTATACAATAGTCGTAAACAAGTCATTCCCGCCTATGTGAAATAGTCCAGATATAAACTTTTCGTTATTTTTGTATAATAATAATTCCAATCCGTCATTGTTGATTGCACACACGTCATAGCAATATTCAAATACATCATCCACCTTGACATTTTCATGACAATTACGTCCAAATGAAATCCAGGCTAAGGAAGTAATTTATGGCAATACTTTCTTCAACCATTTATTGAAAACATGTTTCAGATTCATGTGAAGATAATGGAGATGGGTGAAGGTTATGATCCTGACCGTTTCGTTGATCGAGTTCTTCATGGTTTTAAATGCTGCATTTGCCAATGTGTGTTAAACGAGCCACGATTATGCGAGGCAGAAGAACATAAATTTTGTTTAAACTGCATATCTCAACATCTTCCTAATTCCCAGACATGCCCAGAATGTCGGCAACCCCTCACTTTGGAAACTTTAAAATTTCCTGGGAAAGACTTCAAGAACGTTTTATCAGAGCTGAAAATCAAGTGTGAATACATCAATCGAGGGTGTCCTGAACATGTTGAGCTTGGAAATCTACAAAATCATGTGAATAATTGTGAATACCGTCCAGTAACGTGTGAAGAGTGTCACCTTGAAGTAAATGCAAAAGATGAAGACAACCACAAGAAGAGTTTCTGTCAGCTTGGTGGAGCCAATATTCAGGGTTTAAAAGATATCAAACTGCGTCAAGAAGAAATGAAAGAAGATTTCACGATTATCAGAGCGAGACAGAAAGAATTCGACGATAAACAGAAGGAACTGGAAGAAACTCAGGGCGCTTATGGACAGAAGCTAGATGATATTGACGGTGATTTGGATGAAATGGAGGGTAATCAGAGAAGACAGAGACGGGAACTAAAAGGAATTCGTACAAAACTAGATGAAATGGAGGATAATCAGAATTTACAAAGGCAGGAACTGAATGAAGTCACCAATAGTTCAGACGAAATTAAGACCTTTACGAATTCAATTCAGGATGAATTAAGAAGCGAGGTCGCAGAACTTAAAAGACAACACGATGGTATTTACGACGAAGTAAATAAAATGAAGGTAATACCATCATAATGTTTGTGTTATAACATTTTTAGCCAAGGACATGTTTCGTGGTTATAAACGGCGAGAATATCTCGAAACTAGGAACCGGTCTGAAAGACCCACTGTTAGTATGAAACACAGCTCTTTGATTAATTAATCTGATGGAATTAACTGTCGCATTTGATTAATTAGTAGGTCCTAAAAAATTAGTGTTTGAAGAAGTCTCTGATTTCTCTAATATTCAATTCAGAATGAAGCGAGAGGCGAGGTGACAGAACTTAAAAGACGACATAATGATATTTACGACAAATTAAAAAAAATGAAGGTAATACCATCATAATAATTGTGTTATGAAATTTTTAGCTATGAAAGTGTTTCGCCGGGTTATAAACGCTGAAAGTACCTGCAAGACTGAGAGGCAGGAACCCCCTTAAAAGGCAACTAATAACCGGCAACCTTGAGTGGTTGATCTGATAGACGTACCGGCATTCGTTTGGTTCATAGCTTTTCAAAAGTTAGTCGTTGAGGAAATTGAATATTAACGTCGCTAGTATTTATAATCATGTCTCAAATACTTCCTCGGTTTCTGATTAGGTTGATACCAAGTTTTTAAAAGCGCGAAAGCTTTGTCTGAAGTAGCATTTTATACCACATGAGCTAATTAAACAAGCCAAACACCTTCCCTAGCGCCATCAAGAAAACAAGAAGACAAGATAAACAGAAAGCCTAAGGCGCAAGGCCTCAGGACAATGAAATCTGATAAGATCCATATCGTAAGGGGCCTAAGGCGCCCAGTTTCAACTATCACTTCATAGATTATATATCATGTCACCGGAGAGAAAATTTTGTACACATCAGTTGGATCGTGTTACTGCAGATGAAATATTTTAACCGTCATATTGTAATTTAGACAAATGTCAACAAACTGTCACCGTCTCAAGCTGAGCTGAATATTCAGCACCTTGAAATGGCAAGAAAACAAGATCGAATGGAAGTGAGACAAGATGAGACGAAGGTTAATTTTTAACTGATATAGTGAAAGCGATATGTACGAAAGACAGTGATCCCCTCTGTATTATAATAAGCAGTTTTACCTTTGAGAAACCAACATATTCTACATCCAGACTCATCTTCACTTTAATTTGTTTCGATCGCCTCGTTCCCGAGGTAATTCATATTAAATAAGTATGAACGCTAGTGCGGTGGTTATTTTAGGAAGCTCTTGACGAGATGAAACAAACCCAATCAGGAATTAACAAGAAAGTAGAGGAAATGGAGGTAAGAACACATTTATGATAATATTTCATAATTGCTGGTCATTGATTATCATATAAGCTATCACGTGACGAAATTCACCCTCTCGATATCTATGTCATTTGCCTGGACGGCCTCGTTCAAAAGTAAACGTGCAATGCGCGTTAGATCCCTCGCGAAATGATGTAATTTTTAAACTGGTGTATCGAAATGTAATTTTAAACGCTTTAGAAGACCCATCGGAACAAAATAAATTTTGGATTTGAGGAGTTACATTTGGGAAAAAATGTGTGGTTCTAACTTGCAGTAGATTTCCCTCCCCTCCCATTGAACTTAGTTTAACACTTATGCCTTAAATTGGAAAATATGGTTCTTCGTACATCAAGTAAACAGGTTTTCTATTGCCATTGGATTTAGCGCCATATTCTTAATCTTCACGCACGAATTAGCACAGTGTAAAAAATCGCAGCATGTCAGCCCTCAAGCCCCCATCCGTTCCGATGCGCTTGTGTAGACGAAGGTGATGAAAGCGCTCAGCTGATCCTCGTTTCTAAAGAAACTGTCGGTAAAATAGTTGGTCGGTTGATTTTACTGCGATACCACAAGCTTGGCAGTGATTTGCTGTGAAAACTTTGCAACGCTAACTACAACACTCTTAGAAACTTCGTAAAATACAATTCTAAGCTTTAAAAATGCATCGTTTATTCACAAGAGCATGCCACAGATCCATTTACAGTTTAGCCAACGTCGTTAGTAAATCCTAGAATCTGCTTCCCAAGTGGTCACTCTGTGTCAGTACAGGATTTCCGCGTAACTTTTTATTTACAATTCAGGATAATTTTGAGGTCATAAAGCAGCAGTTCGAAAGATTTGAAGGATTATTAGGTCATCTATTGGAAGAAAATACTGTCAACAGAAATGGTGCTCAAGCTACGGATCCCACAATTCCAACTAATAACCAAGACGTTATTATTCTTGGTGGTTGGTATGCTACTGCGCACGCACCCCCTTTGAATACTGTTGAAAAATATAATATTGTTGAGAAGAGGTCGACTATGCTGCCACCATTGAATCACCCTCGAGCAGCATCAGCATCGTGTGTTTACAACAATGACGTTTTGGTCGTTGGTGGTCACGATGGTAAAGACGTAACTGACACGATCGAAGTTTTGAAGATGAACCAACATCCTTTGCGATGGACATTGTTTGATGGTAAACTGCCTGTCAGAATATGTGCTCATGATGTCATAGTTTATCAAGGAAAATTATATATGATAGGGGGAATTGAGGGGAGTGAAAGAAAAACATCGAATGCCATTTATGAGATTGTTCTTACCCCACCGTATACTGCCAAGCTGCTGGCGACAATGCCTGAGCCAAGAACATTTCACAGAGCAGAACTTGTTAATGGAAAAATTTTTATCTTGGGCGGAACAACAAATGGGCTTAGTAAAGATGCTCTTGACAGCGTTGTTTTTTATGATTTGATTAAGAATGAGTTCAAGCCATGTCCATCGTTACCTCAGCCTTTTTGGAGTATGTCCACAGTCACTTGGGGTGATAAGATCATTGTTCTTGGTGGTTTGGATAACAATGGTCATGTATTAAATGACGTCATTATGTATGACACTGAGACAGGGCGAAGTGAGCCACTGCCCTCCATGATTCACAAAAGGAGCTGCTTCTCAGCTGTCATCATGAATGACGTCATTGCCGTGTTTGGTGGAAGAAATAATGAGCCGGGAAATTTCAACTCAGTGGAAACCTTTACCATCGGTGGAGATGGCTGGAAAGAACTGCCAGGAATGATAGAAAACAGGTGTAATGGAACTGCTGTTACAAAACCTCACAACTAAAAGTTTTCTCAATAAAATTATTAACTTCTTATTGTGTCCTTGCATGAATATGAAAATATTTTTTGTCGTGATGGTTAATCATTGTTTTGGCGCTTTTTTGATATATGAGCTACCAGAAGTCTGTTCTTAATCATAACCCTGAATCTAACATGAAGTATTTTGTTTATATTTCGGTTTTCTCATATATCAAAAAACAACCATTGTTCCACGTCACGTTGATAACTGCTGTTGTCATCTATAATATTTCTATATTCTTATACTGTGACGTCTGGTGAGGTTTAACCAATATTATAAGTGTGTAAGTATATAACATTAGATAAATAGATATAGATATAT